GGTCATTACATCTTCCCCCTTTTAAACAAACGTTTGTCCTTGAACGAGTATAGAGACATGCCTAAAGTGGTGAAAAAATGAGGATAAATGCTGTGCATATCATGATCGGTCTCCCAAGTCGCCTCCTTGACCGGCTGACCTCTCCACTGAACCTTCACAGAAACAATGTTCTTTGACCTCAGCTTCTGAACCTGCATGTCCAAAATAGTCACTGGCTCCTCAACATAAGATAGATCCTTGTCCAACTGGATTGGGCTGAAATCCAACACGTGAGACGGATCGCCGTGATACTTCCGGAGCATAGAAACATGGAATATTGGGTGAACTCCTGCTAGACTAGGAGGTAAAGCAAGATCATAAGCAGCCTCCCCAACTCATCGCAACACCTCAAAGGGACAAATGAACCTTGGGCTCAGCTTGCCCTTCTTCCCGAACATCATAACGCCCTTCATAGGCGAAACCCGAAGCAAGACCCGCTCTCTAACCATGAATGCAATATCGCGAACCTTCCGATCCGAGTAACTCTCCTGTCTGGATTGGGCTGTGCGTAGTCTATCCTAAATCACCTTAACTTTCTCCAGAGCATCCTGAACTAAGTTTGTACCCAATAATCTAGCCTCGCCAGGTTCAAACCAACCTACTGGAGACCTACATCACCTACCATACAGAGCCTCATACGGCCATATGGATGCTCGACTGATAACTGTTGTTGTAAGCAAACTCCGCTAAAGGAAAGAACTGATCCCACGAACCCCCAAACTCCTTCACACACGCACATAGCATATCCTCTAATATTTGAATAGTGCGCTCAGATTGTCCATCCGTCTGAGGGTGGAATGTTGCTCAACTCCGCTCGAGTAACCAACTCATGTTGTACGGCCCTCCAGAACCGTGATGTAAATAGTGCTCTCATATTTTCCGTCCGTCAGAGATGATAGATACCGGTACGCCATGACGCCTGACAATCTCGCGGATATACACTCGAGTCAGCTGATCGAAAGAATAGGTAGTCATCACAGGAATGAAATGAGCTGACTTAGTAAGCCTATCCACAATCACCCAAACATTATCAAACCTCCGTTGAGTCCGTGGGAGTCCAACAACAAAATCTATAGTGATCATCTCCCACTTCCACTACGGAATCTCTAGCTTCTGAAGCAACCCACATGGTCGTTGATGCTCATACCTCACCTGCTGGCAATTTAGGCACCGAGCTACATACTCTACTATGTCTTTCTTTATTCTCATCCACCAGTAATGTTTTCTCAAGTCCTAATACATCTTTACGGCACCCAGATGAATAGAATACCGCAAACTATGAGCCTCCTGGAGAATCAACTCACGCAAACCATCTACATTGGGCACATGTAGCCTTCCTTTCATCCTCAATGCACCATCATCTCCAATGGTGACCTTCTTAGCATCACTGTGCTGGACATTGTCCTTAAGGACAAGTAGATGGGGGTCATCATACTGACGCTCTCTGATACGATCATAAAGAGAAGACCGAGAGACCACACAAGCCAATACTCGACTCGACTCGACTCAGAAATATCCAATCTAAGAAACTACTTAACCAAGGCCTGAACATCCAACGCCAATGGCCTCTCTACTGCTGGAAGATATGCTAAGCTCCCCAAACTCTCCGCTCGGTGACTCAAGGCATCAGCCGCCACATTAACCTTTCCGGGATGGTACAAAATAGTGATATCATAGTCCTTAAGAAGCTCTAACCACCTCCGCTGACGCAAGTTAAGATCCTTCTATTTGAACAGATGCTACAAAATCCGATGATCAGTGTAAATCTCATAATGGACCCCGTACAAATAGCTGCTAACTCAAGGTCGTGGACATGATAGTTCTTCTCATAGGGCTTCAACTAATGCGAAGCATAAGCAATCCCTATACCCTCTTGCATCAAAACACACCCAATACCGATTCCCGAGGCATCACAATACACTATGTAAGAACCAGAAGCTGATGGTAGAACTAGAACTGGAGTCGTGGTCAAAGCAATCTTGAGCTTGTGAAAGCTCTCCTCGCACTCATCCGACCACCTGAAAGGAGCACCCTTTTGGGTCAATTTTGTCAAGGACGGTCTGGGCCAACTCTGAACAACCTTTATCTTCTTCGGATCTACCTAAATACCCTCACTAGACGCCACATGCCCCAAGAACGCCACGGAACTGAGCCAAAACTCACACTTGGAGAACGTTGCATAAAGCTTCTCTTCCCTCAACCGCTATAACACAATCCTCAAATGCTGGGCATGCTCCTCCTGGCTTTGAGAGTACACCATGATGTCATCAATGAATACAATATTGAATGAGTCATGGCTGAAACACACTATTCATCAGATGCATGAACGTTGTTGGAGCGTTGGTCAGCCCAAAAGACATCACAAGGAACTCATAATGGCCATATCGGGTCCTGAAAGTTGTCTTAAGAATATCTGAGTCTTGAATCTTTAGCTGGTGATACCCTGACATCAAATCAATCTTGGAGAACACCATCGCTCCCTGAAGTTGGTCAACCAAATCATCAATACGTGGCAAATGATACTTGTTCTTGATTGTGACCTTGTTCAACTACATGTAATCATTGCACATTCTCATAGTACCATCCTTCTTCTTTACAAATAGAACTGGTGCACCCCAAGGTGACACGCTAGGGCGGATAAACCCCTTATCAAGGAGTTCCTGAAATTGTTCCTTCAATTCCTTCAACTCTGTCGGTGCCATACGATACAGTGGAATAGAAATGGGCTGAGTGCCCGACACCAAATCAATACCGAAGTCAATATCCCTGTCAGGCGGCATGCCCGACAGGTCTACAAGAAACACATTCGGAAAATATCGCACTACCGAAACAAAATCAATAGCAGGGTCTCTACACTAACATCCCTCACAAAGGCCAAATAAGATAGACAACCCTTCTCAACCATCCGATGAGCCTTCAAGTATGAAATCACTCTACGGGGAACATAGTCTATAGAGCCGCTCCACTCAACTCTCGGCAACCCCGGCATCGCCAAAGTCACGGTCTTAGCGTGACAATCTAGAACAACATGACATGGAGACAACCAATCCATACCCAAAATCACGTCATAATCGACCAAACTAAGCAACAAGAGATCTACTCTGGCCTCCAGACTCTCAATAGTCACCACACATGACCGATATACACGGTCCACAATAATAGTATCGCCCACTGGAGTGGATACATGAATAGATGAAACTAGAGACTCAAGGGGCATATCCAGATAATGAGCGAAAATACGAGGACTCATATGAATTAGTAGAACCATGGTCAAATAATATAGAGGCATCTCTATGGCAGACTGAGACAATACCTGTAATCACAGCATCCGTAGCAATGGCATCCGGTTTGGCAGGGAGGACATAGAAACGGGCCTTCCCCTTTTTCGCATCTACGGGGTCGCACATACGCACCCTTTCTCGCACCTGCACCCCCTGCCCTTCCTGGCCTTGCCCGCATATACGGTCTCCTCTTTGCTTCAGCGGGTCCGCACCTGCAGTCTCCCCACCGCACGTGCGAAACACCATAACACCAGAAAACTCAGCAATTACCTAAGTCCCAAATTTCAACTCGTTAAGCATCTCAAACACACCCGAAGCCCCCGGGACCTCAACCAAACATATCAACAAGTCTTATAACCCAATACGAACTTAGTCGAACCCTCACATCACTCCAAACAATATCAAAAATATGTATTACACCCGAATCCAAGCCTAATGAACTTCTAAATTTTCAAATTCCACAAACGACGTCGAAACCTATCAAACCACGTCCGATTGACCTCAAATTTTGCACACAAGTCATATTCAATATTACAAACCTACTCCAACTTCCGTAATCATAATCCGACCCCGATATCAAAAAGTCTACTTCCGGTCAAATTTACCAAAAATCCAACTTTCGTCAATTCAAGCCTAATTCTACTACGGACCTCCAAATCACGTTCCAGACGCGCTCATAAGTCCAAAATAGCCAAACGGGGCTATCAGAATCATCAAAATTCAAATCTGAGGCCGTTTACACATATACCGACATCCAGTCAACGTTTTTCAACTTAAGCTTCCAATTAAGAGACTAAGTGTCTCAATTTACTCCGACATCACTCCGGACTCGAACCAACCAACCCGATAAATCATATAAAAGTTGTAGAACATAATAGAAGCAGAAAATAGGGAAACGGGGCTACAACTCTTGAGACAACCGGTTGGGTCGTCATATAAATTTGGCCTGATAGTATAACGGAGGTTAAATGTAGATAATATATGAAAGTAAAAGGGTATATTTGACCTTTTCTCTTAATTGGACGGGCTGCCATGTGCCCAAAATGAACCATCCCTTTTTCCTGCTTTGTTTAGCCTCAGATGGTCAGTACCCCACATTCAATCCCAGGATCGTGAGTTTGAGAGCAATAGGGTATCAAAGGGGAGGAAGATTTTTTAAAAAAACTACCGAACGAATTGAAAAATATTAATATCACAACACTTGATACATTTGAATTACGTTATTACTGGTATATTGTTTCAGGGCACTATGGGCGCTAATAATATTGAATTACTAGTATATTTGCTCGCGCTTCGCGCGATTATAAAAAATATAAGAACATAATTAAATAGTAATGTTATAATTTTGGTAAACCAATGAAATTCTAATAAATCATGTTTATGTGATTTTACTATCTTTTCATACTTCTTTTAAATTTATATGATGAAATTCTTTATACAAACAAATCTTTCCATGCAGGATGATTTTAGACCTATATAAATAATTTTTGACGGAACTGATATTCCATGTTAAATCTGAAACAACTCACGACTTAAAATCATTTACAGCAATATATGTGACTTGAATTAGGGAAAAACAAAATTTTAAATGGAAAAATAATTATAAGGTAAAAGCCTGAGAATGTAAACCTAAGATGTCGCTTGCTTGCTTTCTTTCTCTAAGGAATCTTTCTTGATATTTTATTTCTTACTATTAATTGTTCACACCTATGTTTCATAAATTTGATAGTTTCAATTCCCTCAAATAAAAATTAATCAAAAACTTAAAAGAGATGGAAGCAAAAAAGAAATAGAAAAAGAGAAGAAAAAGAAAAAAAAAGAAAAGGAAAAGAATTAATCAAATGTATCTCTCCATTACTTGAGTACTTATTCATCCGACCCTTTTCTTTCTTCTTTCTCTAACCCTCACTTTTACATAATCAATTAATCTAAACTTATAGTCTAACGCTGCTACAAATATGTAATGAACTTCTTTTTCAATAACAAAGACATACTCTTCACGCAGTTTGTGTCATATTTTCCTGAAAATAGACAACAATAAACATCAGAAGAATAGGACCTCCATTTACAAATACACTTTATATATGGCTAATTTCCTATGATAGGTTATAAGTACCTTGTTTTATGTTTTGATGATCTAACAAACTTAATGTCAAGAACTAGATAAGGAACATGATACACATTCTTAAGCATGTGGAAATAACCAGACTTAAGCTTGAGAGGTTCGTTAGTCTTTCAGAAGATAAATAATCAACAAGGGGAACATATGGACATCAGTTCTCCTGGTGATCGTACCAGTCAACCCTCTAACAGCTAAAAAGTGGCTGGCTGCACACGCAACAGTACAACACAGTGCAACAATCAATTGCATTGGGAAGGATCTTATACCCAAGTTGCTTACATCATTTAAGTGATGTTATCAATGTTATATTAACATTAAACCAAAGATAAAACATCACTTGAACACCTGGAGAATTCACTCAAGCACTCCCACAGTGATTGATCATCCAGAAAACGATTCTCAAGTGCATCAAGAACAAAGAACAACACTGCTACAGACCAGTTCCCCATAGCAAGTTATTATATGTCCTTAGTTGAGTTGTACCTTTGTCAAAGTTCTTACTTGAAATTCCTACTTAGCTTACTTAGAATCACTGTGTAGGAAACCCTTTTGTAAATCATAAACCTTTGTGTTTGTGTCTTAGCTAGAGTTAGTCGAGTTGTAAAGTCTTTGTAATAGAGGTATTACAAAGTGACTTGTAATAGGATTGTTACAAGTTAGTGAGGGATTAAGAAGTTAATTCCTAGGTTACAATAGGTTGTAATCTAAAAGTTTTCTCAGTAATGAAATTAAAATCCTACAAGAGTAGGTCGTGGTTTTTAATCCCGTGAGCTGAAAATTTTCCATGTAAAATTTTTCAGTGTCATTTACTTACTGTTGTGTGTGCGTAATCTATGGAAACTAATAGAGAACCTGGTTCTCTATATAGTTTGGTGGACCTTAGAATTCTATCAATTGGTATCATAGCAGGTTCTTTCTATCAGGCGAACACCTAGAAAGGATCCTCATGGTTGCTCCACCAAACTTTGAAGAAGGCTAATGTACCTACAGACCACCAAGGTTCAATGGCCAGTATTATGGATGGTGGAAGACCAGGATGCATGACTTCATCATGGCTGAGGATTTCGAGCTCTAGGATGTCATCTGTGATGGACCCTTCGTTCCCATAAAAACCAGTAGCGATCCTACTATAACCATCCCCAAAACAAGAAAAAAATTCAATGACGCCGACCGAAAATCCATAGAAAAGAATTTCCGTGCAAAGAAAATTCTCGTTTATGGTATTGGTCCTTATGAACACAACAGGATATCGGCATGCCAGTCAGCCAAAACAATCTGGAAAGCTCTCCAAACAACTCATGAAGGAACAACACATGTCAAGCAATCCAAGATCGACATACTCACAACTGAATACGAGCTCTTCAGGATGAATGATGGTGAATCCATCCAAGATATGCATACTCGCTTTACATCTATCATTAATGAGCCTCACTCTCTTAGAGAAATTCTTCCAAGAAACAAACTTGTTAGGAAAATACTTAGTGTACTGCCCAGTTCCTAGGAAAGCAAAGTGAATGTTATCACAGAGGCAAAGGACTTGCAGAAGCTGACCATTGATGAACTTGTTGGCAATTTGAAAACGTATGAAATGAAGAAAAAGAAGGACAATGAAAGAAGAGAACCCAAAAGAGAGAAGAATCTGGTCCTTAAGACATACAACAATGATTCAAGTGGTGAGGATGGTGATATGGCTTACTTGACAAGAAGATTTCAGAAAATGGTTCGCAAAAATGGAGGCATTCCAAAAAGGGGCAGTTATAGCAAGACAAAAAAATATGACTTATGTCATAAATGTGGCAAGCCAGGACACTTCATCAAGGACTGTCCCCTCTTAAAGCAAGATCAATTCAAGCACAACACAGACAAAGCAGCTAAGAGGAACTCGGTTCCTAATAAACATTTCAAGAGAAAGAATACCGATGACAATGTTTTGAAGCAAGCTCTTGATGCATGGGGAGACTCCTCCAGCGAATCTGAAGAAGATAATGATCATAGTGACAGTTCAATGATGGCAGTAAAAAGTGAAGCAACTAAATATGACTCTATTTTGCCTTGATGGCTCAGTCTGATGATGATGGAGATGACGACGACGATAATGAGGTAAATTTTCTAGATGTTTAGAGAAATCTGAAATTTTATTCTCCTAAAAAAACTCATGTCTTTGGCAAATGTTTTAATAGATGCATACCACAGTCTTATAAATAATAAAAATTCTCTAATTGTGGAATTAAGAGAAGCAGAACAATCTAGAGATGATCTAGTAGTCGTTGTGGTAGATTTGAAAGAAACTATTGAGAGTTTGAAAGAAGAAAAAGATGCCCTAACTGAAAAAATTGCAAACGTAGAACATGAAAGAGATGATCTAGTAGTTGTTGTGGTTGATTTAAAAGAGATTATTGAGTGTACTAAGAAAGAGAAAGAAGTTTTAATTGAAAAAGTTGCTAACTTAGAACTTGAGAGAGATTATCTAGTAGTAGTGGTGGTTGATTTGAACGAAACCATTAAGAGTGTTGAAAAAGAAAAAGATGTCTTGACCAAAAGAGTTGCTAACACTGAGCTTGAAAGAGACGATCTCAGTTGTCTAAGAGCTTGAGAAAAAGATGTCTTGACCAAGAGAGTGGTGATCTCAAATGTTTAAGAGATATTGATGATGATGCTGAATTATGGCACAGAAGGATGGGGCATGAAAACTTTCCACTACTGAACAAGCTAGTCCAAAAGGACCTGGTTCGTGGTCTGCCCAAGTCAAGCTTCAAGGAACACAAGGTATTTGATGCGTGTGCAAAAAGAAAGCATGTCAGATCCTCATTCAAGCTCAAAAAGGAAGTTAGCACTTCATATGGATCTATGTGGACCTATGAGGGTGCCAAACATAGGAGGAAAAAGATATATCTTTGTGATAGTGGACGACTACTCCAGATTCACTTGGACCCTATTTCTCAGAACCAAGGATGAAACCTTCTAAGTATTTGTTGCATTTGTCAAGAAAATACAAGTGAAGATGGGAAGTAATGTAGCTTGCATCAGATCTGACCATGGGACAGAAATTGATAATGCCAAATTAGATGAATTCTGTGTCGAAAATGGCATTACTCATAATTTCTCAACTCCAAGAACACCACAACAAAATGTTGTTGTCGAGAGGAAGAACATGACTCTTGAAGATATGGCAAGGACAATTCTAATTGACAGTGGCATTGCAAAAACTTTCTGGGCAGAAGCAGTCAACACTGCATGTTACTTGATAAACATGTGCATGATCGGTCCTTTATAAACAAAACACCTTATGAGTTGCTGAATGGAAGAAAGCCCAAGCTGACGCATTTGAGGACATTCGACTGCAAATGTTTTCTTCTCAACAATGGCAAGAAAGCTCTTGGAAAATTTGATGCCAAAAGTGATGAAGGAATCTTTCTGGGATACTCGTCCCAAAGCAAGCTTACACAGTATACAACAAAAGAATTCAATGTGTTGAGGAGAGTATACATGTGATCTTTGATGAATCTCACCTCTCATGTGAGAAGGACATACATGATGATCAAGATTGAGAACCTTTATATGTTCCAGGTGAAGTCATTGACATGGAAAGTAGAAAGGCAGACATGATGAGTCATGTCAAGGAATCCAGTGAAGATGATGCAACTACATCTCCATCCATTGGAGAAGAACCTGGTCCCACAATCACAACAACTGAAGCTGCAAACAGAGTTGTCGATGCAGTACAAGGTACTCCACTTGTAGAAATAAGAAGCGGCCAAGAACCTCAGTCAGATATACCTGGGTTTTCTACCAATGAGGCTCAGGTACCAAATTGGAAGCACAAAATTTCACACCCTCTTGACAACATAATCATTCTTCTTGACTCAGGAATTCAAACCATGTCAAAAACTAGAAACTCACTTGCCTTCTCAGTTTTTCTTTCTCAAATAGAGCCCAAAGATATCAAAGAAGCATTGAAAGATGTAGATTGGATCACAGCCATGCAAGATGAGCTGCATCAATTTGAAAGGAACAAGGTATGGCACCTGGTTCCTCGACCTACAGATCGAACTATTATAGGAACCAGGTAGGTATTCAATAACAAACTCCATGAGTTTGGAAATACAACAAGAAACAAGGCAAGGCTTGTAGTTCAAGGCTACAACCAGGAAGAAGGGATTGACTATGATGAAACTTTTTCTCCAGTTGCTCGAATGGAAGCTATCAGAATTCTTATTGTCTTTGCATCTCATATGAAGTTCACATTGTTACAAATGGATGTCAAAAGTGCATTTTCGAATGGCTTCCTAAAAGAAGAATTTTATGTCAAGCAGCCACCTAGATTTGAGAATCACAAGCATCCTGAGCGCGCGTTCAAACTGGACGAGCATTGTATGGGCTAAAGCAGGCTCCCCGGGATTGGTATGAAAGATTGTCAAAGTTTCTTCTAAAAAATGGATTTACAAGAGGGAAAATTGACAACACTCTTTTTCAGAAGAAACGAGGGAGGAACCTATTCATTGTGAAAGTATATGTTGATGATATCATCGTTGTATCCACAGTCGACTCTCTATGTGAAGAATTTGCAAAACTCATGGGGAGTGAGTTTGAGATGAGCATGATGGGAGAATCAAGTTTATTCTTGGGACTTCAGATGAAGCAATCTCAAAAGGGAACACTGATAAGTCAGCATAAGTACATCAAAGAGCTGCTAAAAAGATTCGACATAGAAACATCAAAAGTTATTGACACTCATATTGCCACAACCACTCATCTAGACATGGATGGACATGGCTCCCCTGTAAATCAGACCATGTATAGAGGTATTATAGGGTCGCTATTATATCTCACTACAAGCATACCAGACATTGTGTTCAGCGTGTGTCTCTATGCAAGGTTTCAGTCTAATCGAAAGGAATC